GGGCAGAGGGAGCTGGGGAGCTCCAGCCAAAAAAAAAACAAAACCCCAGGCAGGCCCTGCTAAAAGGGCCAAATAGGTACTAGGGCTGCAGAGGGGCAGCCCAAAGATAGGCAAAGGCAGCAGGTCCTAACCCCCCTTGCCGATGACGAGTGGTTTACAGACTGCAGTCTGCCCCAGGGAGAGGGGGCTAGATGGTGACTGGCAGTAGCCACTGAGGCAAGGCGGAGATAGAGAGTCGAAATTCACCTCGCTGGGGAGACCCAGATTGTGGGTTGCTGCTGGAGGCAGCTCCCCAAAATAAAGGGGCACCAGGGTCCGGGAGGGACATGGGGTCAGTGGCAGGAGAGACACCGGCCTTCAGAGGGGGCTCCGGGCTGGAAGAGCTAATTCCCAAGACAACCAGCAGGAGACACTGCGCTGGTTATACATCACCCAGCAACAGAAGTGTACATGCTTCAAACACAGTGCTTAAATATTCCTCGGTCTTCTAGGACTTTTACATATAAAGAGAGAGTTGGATCCTTGTGGTATTTTTAAAATAAAATGTAAAACAGGTGGGTTAACGTTCAAAATTTGGCTATTGTGCAAGGACTGTAATTTGTTTAATAACTTCCATGCACACTGCTACAATGGCCATATACTACAGATTGATACTGAATTTCTTCCTTTGCCTCTAGAGCATGGAAGTCTTTTCCGTGTAGGCACTATGTGCAGAAGGGGAACAGGGCACAAATGAAGGAGAAGCTTGCTATAGGTGAAACAGCAGGTGTGGCATTATTTAAGATACCCAATATAACACCATAGGGACTTGGAACATAAGCTAGAGTGAAACAGACCAAGTAACTCGTGACTCGGTGCAATGCTACCCTGGCACAAGAATAGAAGCACACAAGAACTCAAGTCACAGGCAGGGAGAGGGATTAAATATACACATAGCATGGGATTACAGAAGGCAGGACACCAAACTTCCCATCCTCCCACCCCCACAGCCTGGTCTGTGGTTACACATTTATTGTTAGTCTGCTGTGTCAATTAACTTCCAAAACTGTAATT